CTTCACCTCAAGCACAGGAGCCCTACCCCAAACGAATGCTGGAGAAGTACAGTCTTCACGTCAAACACAGGAGCCCTACACCAAACGAATGCTGGAGAGGCCCCATCCAGGTATTTTGTTTTTGTTCTCATCCCTCTGCTATATGTGATTATTATGTGCATAATAGCGTTTAAAATGTAAAATTCACGGCCGTCATGTCATGTAATGTAGCATGTTCCAGTGCCAAATGAACAGGGAGGCCTGCACTCTCTACTTCAAAGCAAAGCAGCAGTGTTACCTGAGGAACACAGGAAAACAGGATCATTTAAAGTCCAGGAGACTGTTTGTCAAAGTTTGTGTCAGTCACTTGGTGGAGAAGGGTGAATTGTAAGTATATAAATTCAAAAAAATATTCGACCACACTGAATTTTACTCTGGTGTTTGCCCTGTCAGATAAGTGTTTTAATATTGTAACTGTTACATGCTCTGTTTTCAGTTACCCATCAAGTGCTGAAAAGCTTGTTTTTGTCACTACTTTCACATCTTTGCAGGGTCGGATTAAAGGAAAAGGAGATGGATTTGTAAGTAATATGTAATTAATGTCAAAAACAGCCAAATGTGTTTTTTTACTCTGAAAGAACATTTTGGTTGTTGCATTCCTTGACTGTTGTCAGTTGGCCTTTAAATTTCTCATGATAAACTAACTTACAGTTTACTACATCATCTGACTCTTTGATAGATATTAGAAATTAATTAAAAGGTATATTGTTGAGATCAATACTTTGTTCTTCAATTCTTTGTATCTTTTATTAAATCAGCAGTGGAGATGAACATCAGGCATAGGTCGTGGATATCGAAGGGGACTTCTACAATCTTTGAGTACCCATGCTTCTTGAATATGCCAAGTGTGGTAGGTCTCACTGCAGTTCAGTCTTTACTTATTTTCTTCCGTTACTTAAAGGGATAGTTCAACCAAAAATGAAAATTCTGTCATCATTTACTTCCCTTCATGTTGTTCCAAACCTGTACGAGTTTTTCTTCTGTTGAACACAGATGAAGATATTCTAAAGAATGTTGCTAATCAGACAGTTGACGGTAGCCACTGACTTCCGTAGTATTTTTTTTCTTTGCAACTATGGAAGTCAAAGGCTACCTTCAACTGTCTGATTAGCAACATTCTTTAAAAATATTTTATGTTCAGCAGAAGAAAGAAACTCATACAGGTTTGGAACAACATGAGGGGGAGTAACAACAACAGTAACAATAACATCATTTTCATTTTTTGGTGAAATATCCCTTTAAGATATTTTAACAGACAATGCAAAAGTTCTGATATTGTTAGTAACACTGTTTTTTATATAAATATATATAGAAAGATTGAGAAATTGAAAGCTGAAGCTACCATGGAAAGGAATGACTTTGCATCTCTTATAGAGGGGATGGAAGACCAAGCAAATGGTATGTATGTGTGAACTCTTTACTTACACACATCTCTTGTGTATAATTTATTATAACAAATATTCATTAATATATGACTTGGCCTGAAGAAGGACAGATGCAGGTAACTGCACATGTTGATCTCTGACTGTTTAGGTTTCTTTAGTGCAGATC